CCTGCCACCATCACAGGTACATTTAGTGAGGGCTTCTTGGTGGCTGCTTTCAAGCTGTGGCACTCCCTCCTCTTGGAGATATAGTTGGTCCCTCTCTATTTGCTTTTTGCCTGCAGGAAAAGACCTTTTTATTTAGGCAGGTCATTGGCTCTTATTCCCGGTGGCAGAAGGGTGTTTTAATATGCTGCCATATAAAAGAGTTTTATCATTTTAAAATTATGCTTTAACTTCCTGACAACATCTGCACTGCAGAAATAATCCAATTTTACACTGCTTTAACTGCCAAGGCTCAATTGTAGTTTGGGATTTGTAGTTTGTTGTGGCACCGGAGCTCTCTGACAGAGAAGGCTATATATCTCACAAAACTACAATTCCCAGAATTTCATAGCACTGAGCCGTGGCAGTTAAAGTGGTGTCAAACTGCATTATTTCTGCCGTGTGTATGCATCTAAAACTTGTTTGATAGTGGAAGATGCTGCCTCAGAATGTGGCGGAATCTCCTCCTTTGGAGATTTTAAACGAAGGCTGGTTGGCCATCTGTTGAGGGTGCTTGGATTGTGTATTCCTGCATGGCAGAATGAGATTGGACTGGATGATCTTTAGGGATCTCTTTCAATTCTATGATCTTATGTGTTTTAAATTTTTGCTTTGTAATAGAGTTGCTTATTTAACTGTGTTTTAAACCTTTTTTTAAAAAAATAATAAAACTTTAGCTGAACTTTGTTTTAATCTTTAATTGATGTAAGCCACCTTGAGTCCTGTGCTGGGAGAAAGGGGGGATATGAATGAATGAATGAATGAATGAATGAATGGCTGTCAGAACCCTGGTCATGGAAAAGGAAAATGCCTGCATAGGGCTTTTTTAATTTCTCCAAAATATGCCATAAATCTTACAGAAATGCAGATTATTGAGGACTGCTGTCTTGATTTCTCATAATAAGTTTCAGAGGCACAAAAGAGCTGCTTAGATTCTGATGACAATTGACTATTTTATTTTATTTTTATTTATTTATTATATTATATTATATTATATTTTCTTATAATTTATTATTATTGTTTTGACTTTACTATTTTATTGCTTGTATTTTATACACTGTATTCATTTTTATTCTGTAATTGCGCCTCGACCCATAGGGAGAGGTGGGAAATGTAAATAAAATATTATTATTATTATTATTATTATTATTATTATTATATTCCATCTCAAAAATTCTGAAGCTTCTCTGTTATTGAGGATTGGTAAGGTGATGCTCCGAGACCAAGAACATCAACCTACTTTTGCTCATTTGTGGATGGCTTCAGTGTGCCATTGCATGCATTCCTCAAATTAACTTTCCAGGCTCTGCCTATTTGGAAGCTGTGCTAACTCTCTTCAGATGAGACCAAGCTCTGCAGAAAAGAATAGAATCTTAGAGTTGGAAGGGACTCCAAAGGCCATGTAGTCCAACCCTCTGCCATGTGGGAATACACAACTAAAGCACCCCTGAAAGATGCACATCCAACCTCCGACCTTCAGAAATGGAGAACTTCTATGGGAGAAAGAGAATGGGTGGCAGTCAGCAAAACCTTTCTTAATTCTTTAAATAAATAAATGAACAGATTTTCCTATCTGTGAAATGGAGGTTGTTGTGTCTGAGATCTTCTCAGGCTCTGTAAATCCATACCATGTATAGGGATCCCCAAAATTTGGGGGTGATGTTTTTCACTTCATCTCTCAGAATTTCTGGCTGTTGGTCAAGTTGGATTGGACTTCTGGGAACTAAAGCCCAAAACTGCTGGAGGACCAAAGTTTGGGAACCACTGTCTGCTGATCCTAATGGACATTTTTCTACTGTGGCTTATTAGAATTAACTTATTCCTTGCCCTTTCACTAAAAATCTGTAGCAAGACAGCTAGTAATAAATGAATAACAACAACATCTAAACAAAGAAAGAAACTTTCAAGTCATTGTAAAATGATGTTTTATTGATTAGAGAATGTCAGCTTTTGCAAGTGGGAAGAAATTAAAACGACATCAGGTTATGTTTTGCCATTGTATCGTTTAACAATGATATTTTGTTGTGGTCTTGGGCAAGTCATACTTGCTCAGCCTCTGAAGAAGCTTGCCTAGGAAAGTCTATGGTAGGTTTGCCTTGGGTTCTCCATAAGTAAAAAGTGACCTGGAGGCACACAACAACAAATGTAAAAGAATAGTGGAATCAGAAGATGTAGATTGAACTGTACAGAAATTTCTCAGCCTCAGAGGAAAGCAGTAGCAAATCTCCTCTGAACAAATCTTGCCAAGAAAATCCCATGATAACTTCGCTTTAGGTTCACCATAAGTCAGAAATGACTTGAAGGCTCACGACAACAACAACAATGGCATATATTAGGATGTACAACTATTGGGAGTTAAGGGGGTTGTAGTGGAGAAGGGATCTTGGCGAGCATCACCCCTTAAAAATTGATTTTTTTTGTGTGTGTGTTCCCAATGGCCAGCAAGGCCCCTAGCAGGCATGGGGGGCAATTGCTCTGGGCCATTTTAGTGGCCACAAGAGGCCTTTAATTCGACTAATAATAATAATAATGATAATAATGATAATAATAATAATAATAATAATAATAATAATAAAATGTAAAACAATGTACAAAGATACAATATATAAAAACATAACAAGAATAAAATCAACAAACCATACTATAAAAGTGTGAAATCTAATGCCTTAGATGCCCTAGATCAGGGGTCGGCAACCTGTTGCTGGGGGGGGGGGACAATGGCGCGGGGGGTGGCCAAGCATGCACTCACTTGTGCGCGTGCACTTGCCCCCTGCGTGTGTGATGCGAGCGCCATCTTGGAAGCCCCCCCAAATGGGGGGCTTCCCTGGGCCACTCAAGGGGAGCTTCCCTGGGCCTCAGAAAGCCCCCCCACCCCCGTGGCGGGCAAATTTGCCCGCTGCGGCGGCAGGGGGGGGGTTCCCTGGGCCTTGGAGAGGCCCCCCGCAGCGGCGGCGGGGGGGCCTTTCCAAGGCAAGGGAAGCGGCTGTGGCAGGCAAATTCACCTGGCGCAGCTGCAGTGCGGACTTCCAAAGGCCCAACGGCAGTGTGCAGCTGCCGTGGGGCCTTCCAAAATGGTGCTCACATCACGCACGCATGCGTGCACGATGCGGCTGCCATTTTGGAAGGCCCTCCACGTGTGGCCGCCCTTTTTTTTTTTGCCAAAATGGTGGCCACAACTCGTTTGCAGATGCGCAGGAGTACTGCACATGTGCAAATGAGTCACGGTCGCCATTTTGTCAAACAAAATGGCAGTCATGACTCGCGCGGCGGTGGGAGCGCACAGCGGCGGCAGGGGTCCGCTGGGCCTGTCGGCGGGGGTCTGCGGGCCTGGTGCGGCCCGTGGACCATAGGTTGCCGACTCCTGTCCTTGATAATCAAACAACAAATGTACTTTTGGGTCACTTTTTGTGGGGAAAATGCCTCTTCTTGGCCTAAAATACCTGGGCAGGGGAGGTTGGAGAAATTGCACCCCCACAGATCCTGGAGGCCGATTGGGGACATTTGAGGGCAACTTATTCTCAATAGATTAGGGCAAGGGTAGGCAACCTACGCCCCGGGGGCCGGATGCAGGCCCCAGGCTGGTCCTGCTGCCGCCGCCTCCCCCCACCACTGCCACCCGCCATGATGATATTGATTATTGTTATTTCTTGTTCTTGGAGTTTTCTTGGCAAAATCTCCACAGGGGGTTTGCCATGGCTTTTCTGGGGCTGAGAGAGTGTGCATGCCTATTTTTTTATTTTTAATTTTATTTATTTATTTATTTATTTAGTTAGTTATTGTGTTTCGGCCCCCCCAATTGTCTAAGGGACAGCAACCCAGCCCCTGGCTCAAAAAGGTTGCCTACCCCTGCATTGGGGCTGTTAATGGACCCTCATTTCCAGCATCTGCCACCGCCATCATCAGACATTCATGGGAAGCTAAGAGCCTGGACCACTTGTCTAACCTATGACCAAACTTCCCTCTCCATCAGTCTCAACGTCTCATGATCTCTGTAATATGATGTAACCGTGACTTATCTTATCATTAACCTTTTCTTTATCTGGAGGAGAGCCCATGCTGTCAGCTGTGTTGCCCAGATAATGGGAAAACCTATTATCACAAGCACCCAAGTGTGGCCTTCATGCTGTGCTTTCTCCATCCTTGTCCTTTACGATGCCATGTACCAATTTAATTAGAGTACAATCAGTTTTGTAGACAACAAGGTAACAGTTTTAGATAAAAATGGCCTTAATAAGTACATTGTGGGAACGGCAAGGTTCAAGATAAAGTCAATCAATCCAGAGAGAGAGAGAGAGAGAGAGAGAGAGAGAGAGAGAGAGTAAAATACGAAGATGTAGAATTATTTATACACTTAATTAAAGCTGCAAAAATGTGCATTTCCAAGAATGGGGAAAAAATCTTTCCCTTCAATGAAGACAATACCGGTAGATATGTGGGAGCCAGTGTGATGTAGTGGTTTGACTGTGATTCTGGAGAACAAGGTTGGAATCCCAGCCATGAAACTCACTGAGTGACCCTAGGCAAATCACACTCTCTCAGCCTCAGGGAATGACAATGGCAAAACCTGTCTGAAGGAAATTGCCAAGAAAACCTTGTGATATGTTCACCTCTGGGTTGCCATAAGTCAGAAACGACTTGAAGGCGCACAACAACATATTGGATACGGTGTATATGATTTTGTTGTTATGTGCCTTCAAATTGTTTCCAACGTACGGTGACCTTAATTACCAAATTTTCACTTTAACCACATGAAACTATGTACATGTATATATATTTAAGCTGTGGGTATGATGTGTGTGTATATGTGTGTGTTGTGTGCCTTCAAGTCGTTTCTGACTTATGGCAATGCTAAGGCGAGCCTTTCATAGGCTTCTCTTGGCAAGATTTGCTCAGAGGAAGTTTGCCATTGCCTCCTCCTGAGGCTGAGAGAGTGTGATTTGCCCAAGGTCACCCAGTGGGTTTTGTGGCCAAGCAGGCAATTGAACTCTGGTTTCCAGAGTTGTAGTCCAATATTCAAACCACTATGCCACACAGCCTTAATTTAAAGGTACAATTTTAATTTTGCTCATTGATTATGTCACAACTATTGCTATTACATTCAGTGATATATGGGAATTATGATTTAGGAGTAACATTAGTACAAAAAACATGAGTAAGGATTCTGTATGGTGTGGTATAGGAGGTGGTCAATGCAGAGGATGAAACCATGAGTTATTGCACTGGGTAATGCCAACTCTAGTTTGACCCAAAAAAGCTTGATATCTGTTACTGATGAGGATGCAAAACCATGAAATGAGGACACGGGACAGCTCCTTTCTCCCTTGATTTATGTACTCCTTTGCCAGCATTTATATTGCCATTTAGTGAAATGATTTGGGGAATCTCCCAGGAGATGAAGCTATATATTGTTCAGAAGGGAAGCTTTGATAGTGTGGCACTGGTGTCTTTCTCCTCTTTGTTCTCTTTTTTTTACCCCCATCCCCAACCCGTGCCCATTGCAAAATGTGAATAATTAATTCCCCCTTGTCTTTCTCCCTGTTTTATTTCTGTCCCTGTAATGCTAACCACTGGAGGCTTGAATCATTCATAGACTTTGCTCCCACACTTGCAAGGCAGAGTAGAGGGTGCTAGGAGAAGCAGGGTTTGCAGTAACAGAGAAACAGAAAGAGCAGGTTGGGGAGCAGCTCTTTTGGGGGAAAGGCCACAAATCTTGAGGATGTGTTAAGTTCGGAGGGGAAATGTTTGCTCAAGCCTACTTTCTAGCAGGTGGGCTAATATAACGGCTGGTGCTGAATTCCCAGCATTATGTATTTCTCCCTTTTGGAATTCTCTTTGTGACTTAGGGGTTGTTGTTGCTGTTAATTGCCTTTCGGTCAACTTTGAGGCATGGCGACCCTATAAACGAGAGACCTCCAAGTCCTACTATTCTGAACCGCCCTGCTTTGCTCTTGCAGATTCACAATTGTGATTTCTTTAAATCGAATCTATCCATCTGAAATGCAATCTTCCTCTTTTCCTATTGCCCTCAACTTTACCAAACATTGTAGTCTTTTCTAGTGATGTATTCAAGTCTTTTAGTCCAAGCCTCAAGTTGAGCCTCAGGTCCTCAGAAGATACTTTCAAGTCGAGTCTCAAGTCAAGTATCAAGTCTGAGAGCCAACTTTTAAAACAGGGGGCATTTCTTTGAAAGGAACAGCAAATGCATTAGGCAATGGGCTTGAGGTGAGGGTTGAGGTTTGCTTGGCAGCTTTATACCTGCTGCACATTAGAGGATTTTTCTAAAACTTTTCCTAAGCAAAGCAATGGAAGATTGGGAAGCTTAGAGATGTCTCATCCACAGGATCTCCATGAGTCAAGAGCAATTAACACCAAATTGGTTTGGTGCTGGATAGGCCCTTTGTTTGTTCCAGTCCAGCTCTTTATATAATTCTGGTTTTCTAAGGTGAGGAGAAGCAGTTCTTCTTCCAGAGGTGTAGGACCTGCCAGTTCATTGGAACCTAATTGTGTCTTGAGATCTTCTGGAGAGGCTCTTCTTTTTATCCTGCTATCATCAAAGGTGCAGAGTGACCAGATATCCTTGTTGTCCAGGACATGTCCTACATTTCAGCCTTCTGCCTAGGGGGAGTTCCAAACTGTCCTCCATTTTGAGCATGACTAAGAAGCATGAATTTACATTTATATGAGTGTTTTTAGCTTTTATTTGGTAATTCCTATATTTTGCAGTGCCTTGTGCTCCTTTGCGGTTATGACATTTTATGACATCTGGTCACCTTGCATAGGTAAGAGCATGGCAAAGGCCTTCTTGGTGGCTATTCCAAGGCTCTACACCAGGGGTAGGCAACCTTTCCCCTTTAAGGGCCGAGGAACTTCAGCTCCCAGAAGCCTCACCCATGTTGGCCAATAGTCCCATGTTGGCCAATAGCTCCTGGGATTCTGGGAGCCGAAGTCCCTCGGCCCTTAAAGGGGAAAGGTTGCCTACCCCTGCTCTACACTGTAGAAATAATGCACTTCGATAACATTTTAACTGCCATGGCTCTACCTAACAGATTCCTGGGATTTGTTGTTTGGTGAGGCACAAGCAGTCTTTGGCAAAGGAGGCTAAAGACCTTGTAAAACTACAAATCCTATCATTCCACAGGATGGAGCTACAGCACTTGAAAGTGGTGTCAAAACTGTGTTATTTCTATGGTATAGATGCACCAGCATTGTTTGAGGAGTTGCATGAGTTTGTGACACAAAAGCTGCCTCCTGATTCCAATGGCTATATCAAATCCCACCTTGACCTTAATATGCCCGGCACATGGCTTAATCTGATAGCTTCCAAGTGCAGAGCAAAGGTGTTGCATCCCATTGATTCCTTGAAGAAAAAGCTGTCCATTTCCTCCCTGAGTGTGAGATTTCTCTCATCACACCAAGGCAGGTGTCGTTTCCTCTTTCTTGGCAGCTCCTATCCTCTGCAATGAACACCTGCTTCCTGTCCTGTCTGCTTGTAATATATGATCTGCTGCTTTTTACAACTTTCTAATTATATCTATTGCTGCTATCGGTCTTGCCCTAGTTGATGCTACCATTCCCTTCCATTTCCCCTCCATCCTTTATTTCAAAGCTTTGAAGCAGTGAGTCAAAAAAGTAATGCAGTTACCTATAATGAATCACATAGTTTTTTAAAAACAGGACAGAATAATGAAAGCTTATTAAAATTACAATGCGAACATAATACAACAGGTAGGAATGGAATTAATGAGCGTTGTCTTCCAGTTACTTCTAAATGTACCACCTGAGGACATTTCTGGAAGGATGGGGATTTTTCAGGTTTTATATCATTTTCTTGGTATCTCCCAAAGTCAATAAAAGGCAACTAACCAATGAGACATTACTTTCTAAATATAGTGGTAAGTAAAATGACACGCTACTTACACAATGGGAATAAATTACTTGTTAAAAAAGTAGCTTCTCTATTTTATTTTATTTATTTAATTTATAAGCCACCTTTTTCTCAGAGTGGTACCCAAAGCAGTTTTCAGGAGAAAGCAGTGAAAAACCTAACAATGCAGTTTTAAAAACAATTAAAATCATCTCATTTAAAATAGCATAAAATAATTTTAAAAGAGTATAAAAGTTTAAAAAAATAAATAAAGCACATACCCAAATAAAAAGCCTTCCAGGGAGCATTTACATATTAAAAGCCTGCTTGAATAATAAAAAAAAGTATTTGTTTGTTGACAAAAGGAAAGCAGCCTAGCTTTCTGTGGAAAGGAGTTCCAGAGGTTGGGAGTTTTCTCTTGTATCCTCAGTTGAGTTAAATTCCTCTGAAAATATGCTTTCCAGCCTGTTCTCTCCATGGTACAGCCTTATAAAGAGGGAACAATATTTCCAACAGTATTTCCAAGACTTAACTTTCATTGCTCTAAGAAAAACCTTTATTGCCCTCCGTTTTCAGACAATGCCTTCAGCTCATTTTGAGGGAAGGTATAAAGGGAGATCCCTTACACACAGCGTTTTTGTATTTGTGGTTCTGGGGAGGTGGAAGACCTAGTGCATTATCTTTTACACTGTCCACTGTATAGGGACCCTGGGAACGATTTCCTGGGAGACCTTTTGAAAGCGAGGGCAGGTTGGATGCTGTCTAATATTATTTGTGGTCTGTTGGCAGATCACTCCAAATCTATTACTTAAGGTGGCTGCCTTCTCTGTGATCTGTTGGCAAATCACTCCAAATCTATTACACTTAAGGTGGCTGCCTTCGCAGCGGGAGCCCAAAAGATCCGCTGCAAATTTCTAAAAGCATCAGCAATGGACTGCAAAGGCAGTTGTTGTAGCCCTATTGTTGCCCTGGGATTTCACCCTGTAATTTTAATTGATTTTATTCCTGTATTCTCCTTGTACTTTTCTGGTAGGCATGCTGGTATTATTATAATTTTCCTGCAGTGCTTTTGTAATATTTTGTAATGGACATTGTGCCACAGACCAATAAACTTTTTGTTGTTGTTGTTGTATCCTCACCAAGCAACCACCTGTGATGGTGGTGAGACCAAGAGAAAGCCTTCCCCTGAAGATCATAGGACTCTTGCAGGTTCATATGGGGAAATACAGTCTTTCAGATAGTCTGAACCTAAGCTTTATAGAGTTTTACAGGTCATGATTAGTACATTTCCAACATCCAACATGAATCCTACTGATGGTCCCAACTAGAATGTGTATGCACTTTGTGTATGTAACTTCAAGTCACCTGTTCAGGTGATGAAGTCTACAGCACAAGCTACTTTGTGTGTGTGTATATATATATATATGTGCCTTCAAGTCACCTATTGAGTTATGGTGACCCTATTAATTTCACAGAGTTTTCATAGACAAAATTCAGAGGTGGTTTTGGCAGTTTCTTCCTCTGTAGCCTATAGCATCTGGTATTTGTTGGTGGTCTCCCATCCAAGTACTAACTGGAACTGATCGTGCTTAGGTTCCAGGATCAGATGGGATCTGGTGCCTTTACAGTACTCAGCAGCTCCCAACTAGAACAGACCAATTGAATTCATGGGATTTATACATAGGTTTTGGGTCACCATTCCACTAAGTTGAATCCCACTGTTGGGGTAAAGGGAAGGTATAAATTGAGGAGATGGTGACGGAGGAGATGATGATGATGATGATGATGATGATGATGATGATGAGTTGACAATGGATTCAATGTGGACTTAGTGGGATTCAGGCCACTGATATGTCTTTAATATGCCTCTTTACTGTCTCAATATTTATTTATTTATTTTTATTTCTAGGGTGCTCCTGAGTCCTAATGGGTTTCTGATAGTCTTCCACTGACAAGCTGGGAAGAGCATGGTTAAACACCAACCTCTACAGTACTACGAACCACAGTTATGTTTATCATGTCTGACCGGGATTTATGGCTGCCGCTGGAAACGATACCAGCGGTCACATGATGACACCACCAAGGTGAGTGTTTTTAAAAAAGACAGATTAATGGAGGATAGATCTGTCAACCATACAAACTACATGATAGTCATGATGGCTACATGAGACC